TGATTTTTCTAAGAGTTACCCTTAACTTTGCTTATTTATTCATAGTTTCTAATCCTAGCTATGGTAGATAGCGAAGCCTTTTTGATTTAAACCTGCTATAGAGAGCTGGTATCCATGCCAAAATTTATGCCCTTCTATTCGTTGATTGTCATCTTCTTCATCTAAGTAATTTTTATATTAATTAGTCGCTGATGTAGCGATTTTACTGATCTGGTGCAACTTTCAAAAACTGTGATGATTTCTCAATTATTATCCCCTATTTTGCTCATATCGCTACATTTTCTAACCCGAGTCATAGCAGGTTATGAAAATTTAAATTTGAAACAAACACCTTGTGGTTTATATTCACGCAAACTGATTTACTAGCATTCTCTTATTAATTATTATTTCCTCCGTCTAAGCAATTATTGCAACACTCAATTCCTGTTTTAAATTTACTGATCTAATGTCACATTTAGTAACCCATGTTGATTTCCTAGTTATTATTCTCAACTGCTCCTCAATTCACAGTTTCTAATCCTAGCTATAGCAGTTGGCGAACCCCTATTAAACTTGAAAAAGAGGGCTAGTATCTGTGCCAAAGCTTATTTGCTTGATTTCTCTTTTTCTTTATACGAGTATATGTAAGCAGTTTTTGAATTTCTCAATCCCTGTCGTAGTAATTTATCTGAAAGACATTGGCCTAGTCTACCGACTCATTATTAATGCAAACCAAGGCGCTATTCTACAATTAATTTAACGAATAGCAGGGGAAAAAATTGACTTATTTCATATTGAATCAACATGGCCACGATTCATCGCTGAAAGTAATCCATCTCGCCGATGTTTTCTTTCTGTTGTTATTTACCCTACTCTACCAATTGAAATTGTTTATTTTGGATACCAATTGTCACATTGAGTCATCATCATGCCTAGCCAAATACTTGAGTAGAATAACGCATGGAATAATTTTCATAATAAGATCAATTTTACTGATTGTGTTCACTAATGAGCTAATCATGCGTTATTGAAGGAGAAAACGTTTTCATCATGTGTAGCTTATTAGCTCGATGGATAGTCCGTTCGAATAAAGTCCAAATTATCAGCTGTTTACCTAATGTTGATGTCTTGATGAAGGAGTGGAGATGTTTAAAAAGTGATGAACAATTCATGATTATCATGCATTATTTGTATATAATTTTATGTAGAGCTGTATATCAATCGTTTGCTTGGGAAATGGCCATAAAATCGTTCCTTTTGAGCGCCATAGGATTGCGTCTACTCGTAGAGAATACCTTAATCAAAACCAGTCTTGTTGTTGCAGTTTTTATTTTTTTCAGCTAGAGACAATAGTGATTTGGCTGTCAAGAAAAAGTAGAGTATTCAATTGGCATTTATTTTCACTTAATTCAATCACTCCTCTCATTGTAACTTAAGTGATTGCTAACCATCAATGAGTTATTCATTGAGCGCAGCAGGGATGGTAGCGCCATCACTTTCATAAAGCAATTGAATGATGATCTCGTTATTAATTAGGTAGAAAAATACACAGATCAAATATTAACATTAATCATAGTACTTCTGGAAGGAAGGGCAAAGTGAAAGACTATTGTCTTGTAAATAAAAGAATAAACGTGTTGAACTGTACAAGGTCATGAATACTAATTTCATGAAGATATTCTTGCAATGATAGCATCAAAGGCGCGCTTGATCGTAGTGGAAGCACTCGATAGCCATAATCTATTTATTTGCCGTTGCGATTTGTTTTCATTTTGAAGGGTAGTATTGATCGTGATGCAA